TTTCCTCTCAGGATTTTAGGTAGGCATGCACACATGCTCAGTGTGATTTTCAAACCACCGGTTCTGAGACTCGAACTGCCACCTTAGCCTCCATGCTACCTTCTGACCCTTTCTTTCAGGATTTTAGGCATGTATGTACATGCACCTGGTATGTTTTTCAAACTGCAGGTTTAGGACTTGAATTGTGCAGTTGGCCATGTAGGGTCCAGCTGCCTTAACCACCATGCCATGGGCTTGTTCCCTACATGCTCTTTGAACTTGTCTCCTATCTGATCTGGATTTCTGGGCACAAAACCCTGAATAACCCACTGAGACTGTACTCTGTCCATCCTCTTTTCCACTGAGTCCTTCCCCTCAGAATCTGTGCTCCGCTTCTTTGTCTGGATTCACATTCTCTGGGTAGCTCTCTGAACTGGGTTGCCTGTATTTTGTTGTAAAACAGACCAACCACTCCCAGGCTCCCAACTCTTCTGATCTGTCCAGCTCTCCTGTCTTCTACCACCCACCGCTGACAGCAGGATGAGGAAATGGACACACAGCTCTCAGTTCTAACGGATGGAAAAGACCATCAAGCTTTGTTCCTTGGTGGGGAAGCGAAGGACAGCTGTGTATAGGTGTATGTGTCGTGAATGACGAGAGAGTGTACATATGTGTGGGAGCTATATGTGTGCATGCACGTGGTGGCAGGAGTCATCCACGTATTCTATAGCTTCCTCTGGAACTAAAAATATAAAATCCTGGAAAATATGCGTTTTTTAAAAAATGCCACGGGAGGGGCCAGCAGATGATGTAGTGGTTACATTACTGGACTCCCACAAGGCCAGTTGTGGTTCCGAGTCCCAAACTGTGGTCAGCCATGTGGAAGCCCGGTGGCTTAACCACCACACCACCTGCGCGCCCCCTCCCCCAACCATTTTTAAGTATACAGTTCGATAGCATTAAGTACATTCACATCGTTGGGCAATAGAGACCACTGTCCATCTCCCACACTGAAGCTCTGTACCCATTTAAAAGTGCAAGATGCCCCCACTGCCTACTACCAATAATAGGTTCCACAATCTACTCAGGATGCCCAACATCAGACCAAATGTCTCTATCTTTGATAGGTCCTTTAGAACAAAGTCTCTCTCTAAAGAAACATAGCTCTCCATTTAAAATAATGCTTGGGAGATCAGACAGTGGTCAGAGGTAAAATGTGACCCCCCGTGAGGCAATCCCATGAGAATGTTCCCAATTCAAGTCCAGAGAACTCCTTAACGATGTGAGGTGCATGCCCATGATCTGGGACTAGCTGGAGGCTGGGAGTGGATCATAGCATTGGGGTGCTATTGGGAGCGCTGTCTCTTTCTCTCCCTATTCCTCTCTCGCGCGCTCATGGAAGAAATAATTAATGAATTTTTTTTAAATGCCTGGGTTTAATTATAACTTTTGGGCACTTATTTTGTAAGTGGTAATGGGGTCACACAGTGTATAAAACAGGTGAAACTTGAGGACATTATGTTAAGTTTAAAAAGCCAATCACTCAGATATGGAGGATCTATTGCTGAGTGAAGTAAGCCAGGCTATGAAAGAAAGATATTGTATGTATCCACTCAATATATACCGACTATCCACACTCTATAATAGAGAGCAAAAAATCGGAGGACATAAAAACAGTGAAGGTACTTAATGAGAATAGGACAGTGTGGAATGGGGTAAGTGAAGAGAAGAGGATAGAGAAAGATAGCAAGTGAACAATAGAGAGACAGGACGTTAGTGAGAAACAGATAGGGCTTATTAACTGTTGATGATGACATGTATAGTATTCTCAACTGGATTGGTCTGAGAAGTATTTCATGATGGGCAAAGTATTTTTACAAGCAAAATGAGAAATAGCAATTGACTGTTTTATAAAAATAATTAGAATAATAAAAATAATGATTGGGGAAAACAGAAAAGATATGGAATGTTGAAGTGGGGAGATTAATGTCTCTGTACTGACTGACATGTATGGCATTCCCTTTTGAAAAAACAATGTAATACACTGTAAAGTTATATGTAATCCAATGTAATATAAAGAAGACTATGATGATAATAAAAATTAAAAAAAAAAAGTCAATCACAGGGCCAGCAGGTGGTATAATAGTTAAGGCACTGGACTCCCATACGGCCCAGACCTGGCTGTTTGCTTTCTCACTTTCTCTCTCTCTCTCTCTCTCTCTTTCTCTCTCTCTCTCATGAGTGCACATGTTCTGTTACTGTTACAAATTTAATAATAATAATAAATACAATTTTTTTAAAAGTCAGTCACAAAAGGACAAATATTACATGATCCCCCTATATGAAGTATATTTGTAGTCAAATTCATGGAGACAGAAAGTAGAATGAAAGTTGCCAGGAGTGGAGAAGGGGAATAGGGAGTCAGGATTAAGTGGATTTATGGTTTCAATTTTGCAAGATGAAAACATGTCTAATGATTGAATGTATAGCAATACACATCCCAATACCACGGAAGTGTACATTTAAAAGCAGTTCAGATGGTCAAGTTTACATTTTGTCTATTTTACCACAATTAAAATGTTAAAAGGACCCACAGGTGGTAAGGAGATTACGGCTCTACATCACATGTGGCTGACTAAATGGTTCAAGTCCCAGACCCTGCAACTTGAAAATCACGCCAGGCATCAAGTGTGCATGTCCAAAATCCCTAAAAGAGGATGAAGGGAAGGGGATTATAGCATGGCCATCCCCCCTGGGGGGTGATTTCTTTCTCCCTCTCTCTCTCTGTCTCTTTTCTCTGGCTGTCTCTCCCTGGCAAGTACACCTGCAATAGCAAATAAATAAATAAATAGCTTTAAAAAAAATTCACAGTCCAGTGAAAGTTTTCCATAGACTTGTAGTCTTAGGCAAGAAGAGGAGAGGTCACTTATCCCAGTGTCTGTCCAACTTTTCTGAATGAGATTGACAATAAGAACTGCATTAAAGGGAACCAGCAGTTAGCGTAATGGCTATGTCGCTGGATTCCCACGTAGTCGATTGCGGTTCGTGTCCCGGACCCAGTGACTTAAAACTCACACCAGGTGTGTGTGCGTGCGTGCCCAAGATCCTGAGAGAAGAATGGAGGAGAAGGGATTGCGGCGTGACCATCCCCCCGGGGGGTGATTTCTCGCTTTCTGTCTCTCTGTCTCTCTCTGCCTGGCAAGCGCACGCACCCTATAGCGAAAATCGCACCAAAAAAAAAAAAAAAGAACTGCATTAAATATCATGATCTACTACGTATATGTCATGATGTGAACACATACACACATATAGTTACAAATACGTACACATGTATACATGTAAGTATACATATAACTGAAAAGATATCACTAAGAAAAGGTATAGAAAACATTATTTACACCATTATATGAGATGTGTTCTCATTTTCTTCTACGCTATCTTACCCCATTTTAGTAAAACAAAGTACCAGTTACAATTTACAAGTAGATTGCATAACCTACTGAGGAGTCTCAGGCTACAGTTTGAAAATGACCTATCTAAACTAATCTCCAACATAATATAATATAATCTTCCTTAGCTTCTCTGATGGGTCATCATCCAGCTTCTCTTGAATGCTTTCTGTGATGAGTAGCTCACTCTCCACAAGGCAGCATGCTCTATAGTGGACCCATCCAGCAGCTGAAAATCCTTGCTGCTCCAGCCTGGGTGGAGCTGGGAATCCTCTGAAGGTGGGACCCATGGCCAGGTACTTAGCAGCTTCAAAGAGGGATCCCTGGCCCAGTTCTAAGGCTGGGGTTTAGGGCAATCCAGAGAAGTAGGGAAGGGTTGCTGAGAGACTAGCTCCATTCTATGCAACAGCTAATCAGACCTTTTCTCCCCTGTCTTCTCACTGCTCCAGCATTGTGATTATTTCCTCATCTGATGGATGATCTCATTCTGCCTGGCGCTCGCCTGTGGGAGAGGTGTCCTCCCCCTAGAGGGGGCCTGAGCCTCCAGTGGAAACAGATTCCCCCACATTCCCGCTCAATGTCCTACCCACCCCTTAGGACTCCAGCAGGCCACTTCTGGTCAGTTGCACCTAGTATCCTCATGGTGCTGAGATTCCGGGGTGTCCTTGCCCCTTGGTCTGACAAGGGCTACCTGAACATTTCTGACCTGTGCCCCCCCAAAAGGCATCCGGAGACTTGCCTGTGTTCAGGACAATGAGACTCCTCCACACCTGACTGTATCTTTCTGAGAGAAATTAAACAAAGAGCACCACCACGTGGGGACCGAGCTGGCCACTGGACACCAAATCCCTGGGTCCCAGGATGAGAAAAGAAAAATGCCTAAAGTCCTGGCAAGGGTGGTGGGCTGAACGAGGAGGGGTCCTGGACTCGGCCACCATCAAGGGCCAGGGCGTGGCCATTCTGTGTTCCTGCAGTTTCCAGCTCTACAGCCTGCCAGCCCTGGCCAGGTACGATCAGATTGACCTCAGGGTGGGGCGGGGCGAGGAAGAGGTGATGATCTCATTGTATCCTTAGGACCAGGAGAAGAAAGTAAGCCGGTGCAAAATAGAGGAGCAAGAAAAGACAGTTGATAAAAAATGGGAGGAGACAAGGAAAGCTGTGTCTGAGCTAGAACACATAAAACGCAGGGCAGCGTCCAGCTTAAAAGGGGTCTTCGGGTCAGAGCCAGCTCCAGGGGAAACCGGACTCTGAGCAAAACCTTTCTCCCTCTGCAACAAAACATTCTGATGCTGAAATGCCTCACCATGGACATCTGACAATTCCCGCCCAGCCTCTCTCCCCCGAGCCATGGAATAGAAGTAGCATCTGGAGCCCACCACCAGCCCTCTGCCAAGTGCCATTCTTTTTGCCTCACCCTATTTCCCCCAGGGTTGACAAAGTTTAATTGATTGAGTGAAACCAAAGGCAACACAATGCGTGCCAGGTCCCTCACTTCTCTCTGCAGCTGCTATTTTGGTTTTCTTCTCTTTGGTCTGAAAAGCCTCACATTATTTGCATTTGATTTCTACTTACCTGCAGTCCAGTTAGAAGCGAGCTGCTCTCTTCCTCACTCCCTCAATTAGTGGTACCCTGGGCTTCTCTCAACATCAGCACCACTGCTCAGCTCTCACCATGACATCATCTCCAAGCTCTGTGATTGGCCAACAGTGGGTTGCTTGGCAATTGGACGGTCTCCTCTGGTGGAGCAGGGATTGCCTGAGTGAGTAACTCTTAGCAGGCCAGGGAGTGGAAGATGATGTCAGACAAAGGCTGCTTTCTCTACTGCCTGTGGAGCTGGGGAGCTGGAGGGCGAGGGTGGTGAGGGAGGCAAGGGATGAAGAAGGAGTGGTGCGGGGAAGGTGGGGGTGAAGGCACAGCTTGTGAGTTGGGGGAATGATGAATGATTTCAAGAATCTTTAGCTCTTTCAAATCTGGGGGTGGGAGAATATGGAATCTAGAGGAGGAATAAGAACGAACAGATGAACCCTAAAAATAGCTTCCCGGAGAGCTTGGTGCCTGTTTCCAGCTCAGTCGGAAGGGCTGGTGGGTTTGAGCGGTGACTTGGAAGGCAGGAAGGGGCTGCAGAAACTCAGGGTCTGGAGCTGGAGAAGGCTCTGCATCGGGGTCTCAGGGGAGCAGGGGCTTCCCTCTGACTGTCCTTGCTATGGCATCTGCCACGTCTCTGCTGTGGCATTCAACCAGCACTTGTGGGTCTTACAGCCTCCCCTACCCCTCAACATGCCTGGCCTTTCCAGAGGAGCCATGGGCAGGGAAACAAAGTGGTCATTACCCTGGCAACTCTTAACTGTGGGGGAATCTTGCGGGGAGGTGATGGGCCGTCAAAGTTGGCTTCCTTAGATCTTCAGGGAATGGGGAAAATCCCTGAGCAACCTTCACAGGCTGCTCCCCCTCAGCCAGGCAACTGCAGAGAGCGGGGTGAGGACACTGAGAGGCGAGGCAGGCCCTGGAGGGAGGACTTGGCATGCAGAACACCTCTCTGAGTAAAGCCCCTGGGTGTGTTCACCATCCCCACACTCCAGCTCCTCGCCTCACCTGACTCGTTTTTGTGGGGGTGGAGGGGGGTAAGCTTATTTTTGTGGTAAAACATATGCTCCGGGGGAGCCCAAATCTGAGAGGGCTTGCCTATAATGTTTACTGATTCTATAGGATACACCTGGAGGTCCCACGGGAGAGAACATGAGTTTACCTACATCGGGAGAACCCAAGTCCCACTGATGGCCAGGTGGAGAGTAATTCATGCCATCATGAGCACAGGGTCAGATTTCATATGATAAGAACAAAGCATTCATAAATCAAAGAATCAAATAACTGCAGATTCCCCGCCACCCAGACAGGGGTCTGGTTAGTGCATAACATCGCTTGAAGATTACAGCAAAGGTCAGATCATCGATTGACAGGACCAGCAGAGCACGTTTAGGGCTTATTGCCCCAGTCTAGTGATGTTAACGTGGGAGGTGTGCACATGCCTCTGGAATGGCTCCACCTGGGAGTCAATTCCATGAGGAGAAGGTCATGGTCACGAGATGTTCCAGAGGCCCAGTCCGGCCAGCAGCTGGGTCTCAGAGAGATAAGGCAAAGAGGGAAGGGGGAGAAGAGCTCATGTATAGAACCTACTCTCAACATATATAACATTACATTTAACCATTTTAACCATTTTATGGGGCTTTTTTAGAATTTCTATTTTTTTCTTCCTTAAGGCACCCATGCTCATCAGAGAGACAGTGAGAGGAAAAGTGAGAAATTACTTCCCAGGGAAGATGGCCATACCACAGTCCCTTCTCTTCCATTCTGCCTCTGGGACTTTGGGCATGCATGCACACACACCCAGCATGAGTTCAAGCTGCCAGCTCTGGGACGTGGGAGCCAAACCTTGTCAGTCATGTGGGAGCCCAGCTCTTTAACCGCCTCATCACCTGTTGGTCCTTCTAGTCATTCCTTTTGTTTTCGAGAGAGAGAGATTTTTGCCATAGGGCATATGTGCTTGCTAGAGAGACAGAGAGACAGAAGGCAAGAAATCAGCCCCTAAAGGAATGACTATGTCCTGATCCTTTCTCCTCCATTCTCCTCTCAGGATTTGGGGCATGCACACACCTGCGCCTGGCATGAGTTTCAAATCACAGGGTCCAGGACTCAAACTGCAGTCAACCACGTGGGAGTCCAGCATCGTAACCACCATGCCACCTGCTGGCCCCTCTAACCATGTTTAAGTAAACAGTTCAATGGCATTAAGACCATTCACATTGTTGGGCAATAGTGGTCACCATCCATCTCCAGAACTGTTGCACCTTCCGGAACTGAAGTTCTGTACCCATTAAATAACAGCTCCCTTTTCCCCCAACCCCTAATCTACTTTTGCTCCTTATAAATGTACCTGTTTTATGTGCCTCACAATAGTGGGATCATAGAGTATTACTACTTGTTCTTTGTGTCTAGCTTCATCCACTCAGCATAATGTCTTTGAGCGTCATCCATGTTGTTGTGAGGGCCAGAATTTCAGCCTCATCTCCTCCCCCTTTTCAGTAATTGCCAGAGGACACATGCACTTGCCAGAGAGTAACAAACAGAGAGGGAGAGAGTACCCCTAATGGGGCATGGTCCCATCAAAATCCCTCCTCCATTTCTCTGTCCTGTAGGATTTGGGGCATGCACGCACGTATGTCTGGTGATCTTTCAAATCTCTGGAGCTGAAATTTGAACCGCAGTCAGTACTGTGGGATCCAGTTCCCTTAACCACTAGACCATGGGGTCACCCTCATTGTCTCTCCCATTCTTAAGAAAGCTTTTCTCAGGGAACCAGCAGTTAGCGTAATGGCCATGTCACTGGACTCCCACGTAGTCGACCGCGGTTCACGTCCCGGACCCAGTGGCTTAAATCTCACGCCGGGCGCGTGTGCGTGTGTGCCCAAGATCCCGAGAGGAGAATGGAGGAGAAGGGATTGCAGCGTGATCATCCCCCCTGGGGGGGTGATTTCTCGCTTTCTATCTCTATGTCTCTCTCTGTCTGTCTGGTGAGTGCACGCGCCCTATAGCGAAAACCTCTCCAAACTCAGTAATTAATTTCATGAATCTCCACCCTCTAGCACCACATCCCTGTTGACCAAGAATGCATATCACAACAAGTTAGCTTGAATTAGCCCATGCTTTGGAATTATTTAGTTAGTTAGCTTTAATTGGCTATTGTGCATGTACATTTACTGAAGAGAGACAGAGAGTGAGAGAGGGAAAGTGAGAAAACACCCCCTAGGCGCGTGGCCACAATCTCTTCTTGTTTGTTCTCCTCTCTGGATTTTTGGGCATGCACACACATGCCCAGCATGATTTTCCAGCCTCTGAGTTCAGGATTTGAACTGCATAGTCTGTCATGTGGGATCTAGCACCTTAACCTCCATGCCCCCTGCTGACCCTAGGATCATTTTTTTAAATGACAGTATCATCAATGGGCATCTGAAAATTTTGTTTGATGCATGTGTAGGCCATGGCATGTGCTTACTCTGCAGACGGTGCTGGGCAGTAAGCAGACTCTCCGGCCTTAGCACTAACCACTGACTTGACCCCACAGCCAGAACCCACTGGATGGTGTCTCAGTGTCCAGCACCTTGTGTTGCTCTCCAGGGGTCCCACATGGACATCCACCTCCAAATCCCCATTTCACAACAGAGGGGAAGAGCAGTAGTCAGGCTGCCTGCCCCACCAACTACATCTGGGGTGGCCAGATTAACGAATGATCCTGACGGTCGGTTTTCAGAGCACACCCATGCTGGTTCAGTCATGCCGTCCTCTAAGCAATGCTGCGTTCAATGTCAGCACTTGCTATTCAACGAGTGTCTTTGCGCAGCGTGCTTATCATGCATGCATCGCGTGCTATCCGGGATCCCCAGGCCCCACGCTGGCCCATTTCAGAGGAAACCAGGTGTTTCCAAGGATATCAGAAGTGGTTCTGTCAATCTGTCTCCACAACAGAGGCCACACTGCATACCAGCATGACATTCAGAATCTGAGAAACCCTGAAATGGGTGGCAGCCCTGGCTGTCCAGGGAGCCCCCATCTCCTCCGCAGCAGCGCTTCCCTCCCAGCCCTGAGAAGTCTGGAACTCCACAAATCTGCAGGCTCTGGAAAGCCGGGGAGGGGGAGGGGGAGGCAGCGGGTTGCCATGGTGACAGTGACCAATCAGAGATCCTCGGCTACTGTGGGAGGAAAGTGCTGGGTCTGGGTACCTCTGACTGACAGCGAAGGGGGTGGGGCTGGGACAAGGCGTGGAGTGAAGGGGAGAGCGGAGACAAGGCGGGGGAGAAGGAACCAGGAGAGGGCTGCTCCATTTCTAAAATGATCTCGCTACCATGAGAGTAGTAGTAGGCTGTGATGGGCAATACACACAGATACACACATACATAATCAGTAGACCTTAAACGGTTCTATGGAAAGCACAGAACTTATCAAAGAACTAGACTCAGATGGGAAAGGTCACCTGTAAACAGCCTGCCTGGTAAGTAGGGAGGCCTAGACTTAAACTTTGCTGTGTGGGGGAATGAGAGGGTTAAGGAAAAAAGAGAGGGAGTGAGGAAAGCTGGGTAGAGCCTTCTCCCCATAGACAGCCCCCCCGGGTGGCATAAGGAAAGATGGTGATGAAACAAAGAAGCACCCATTACTGTAGGAAAACGTGCGAAGCATCAAGTCCAAAGAACAAAGGGTAAGAGACCTAACCTAGAAAAGAAATCAACAAGGTCAACATTAGGAAGTTCAGAGGGGTAGGATTGTGATCAGAAAACGGCCGAGAAAGCTTGATGGGTATAGCAGCGGATAAGATCCCCTGAAACCACAGAGCACCCTACTCTCTCTCTATATATATAGATATACTGTATCTTTTTCATCTGATAACCAAGACAGCTACTAAATGACTAATGGGTTGGTGGTACAAACAGTGTGGACACACTGGACAAAATGCTGCTCATCCCTGACAGCATGGAGCAGAGTTTCAGCATACTACTCTGAACAGCACACAGCTTAAAACTCATAAATTGTTTATTTCTGGAAGTTTTCTCTTTTTTTCTCTCTTTTTTTTTCTTTTTTTTAGAGAGAGATTTTTGCTATATGGCATGTGCGCTCACCAGAAAGACAGAGAGTCAGAAA